GGGAGGGAGCGAGACAGCATGCTGGACGGAGAGAAAACCGTGGAAATAGCTTGGGGAAAGTCCGCTGGGAGGGAGCGAGACAGCATGTTGGACGGAGAAGAAACCGTGCAAATAGGTTGCGGAGAGTTTCACTGGGAGGGAGGGAGACAGCATGCTGCACGGAGGAAAGTGTGAAAATAGCTTGCGGAGAGTTTCGCTGGAGGGAGCGAGATAACATGCTGGATGGATAGGAAACCGTGGAAATAGCTTGCTGAGCTGGGAGGGAGCGAGACAGCTTGCGGAAAGCTTCGCTGGGAGGGAGCGAGACAGCATGCTGGACGGAGAGAAAACCGTGCAAATAGTTTGCGGAAAGCTTTGCAGGGAGGGAGCGAGACAGCATCCTGGACGGAGAGGAAACCGTGGAAATAGGTTAAGGAGAGCTTCGCTGGGAGGGAGCGAGACAGCATGCTGGACGGAGAGAAAACCGTGCAAATAGTTTGCGGAAAGCTTTGCTGGGAGGGAGCGAGACAGCATCCTGGACGGAGAGGAAACCGTGGAAATAGGTTAAGGAGAGCTTCGCTGGGAGGGAGCGAGACAGCATGCTGGACGGAGAGGAAACCGTGCAAATAGGTTGCGGAGAGCTTCGCCGGGAGGAAGCGAGATAGCATGCTGGACGGAGAGGAAACCCGTTCACAAGAGAGTGCGGAGAATGGGAGCGAGATAGCATGCTGGACGGAGAGGAAACCGTGCAAATAGCTTGCGGAGAGCTTCGCTGGGCGGGAGCGAGACAGCGTGCTGGACGGAGAGGAAACCGTGCAAATAGGTTGCGGAGAGCGTCGCTGGGAGGGAGGGAGACAGCATGCTGGATGGACAGGAAACCGTGGAAATAGCTAGCGGAGAGCTTCGCTGGAAGGGAGCGAGACAGCGTGCTGGACGGAGAGGAAACCGTGGAAATAGCTTGCGGAGAGCCTTGCTGGGAGGGAGCGAGACAGCATGCTGGACGGGACAAAACCGTGGAAATAGCTTGCGGAGAGCTTCGCTGGAGGGAGCGAGACAACATGCTGGACGGATAGGAAACCTTGAAAATAGTTTGCGGCAGAGCTGTTGGCACGGGTTTTTTCAGGACAAATGCCATCATTGCGATTGGCCTGAAAAAATTGTGGACCCAAGACTGGTCAAATGGTCCCAAGACCGGTCAAACGGTTTGCAAAGGCTGAAAAATGGGACATGCACAGAGAAGCTTTTACACAAAAAAAGCCTTTACACAGAAACTTTGACACACAGACGCGTTTACAGAGACACAGAGGAGTCTTGACACAGAAGCCTTTACGCACAGAAGCTTTTTTGCACAGAGTAGCTTTTACACACAGAAGTCTTTACACAGAGAAGTCTTGAGACAGAGAAGCCTGTACACACAAAGGCTTTTACAGAGAGAAGCCTTTCGCACAAAGAAGTCTTGACACAGAGGAGCTTTTACGAGAGAAGTCCTTACACAAACGAGATTTACACGCAGAAGGTGTTACAGATAGACGTTCTTTCGGCGCACAGAAACTTTAACACAGAGCAGCTTGTACACACAGAAGCTTTTACACAAAAAAGCCTTTACACAGAGAAGTTTTTCACACAGGAGCTTTTGCACAAGAAAACTTTTACACAGGAAAGCTTTTACACACAGAAACTTTCACACAGAAGCTTTGTACACAGAGAAGTCTTTGCACAGAGGAGCTTTTGCACACAGAATCTTGTACACACAGACGCTTTCACACACACACAGGAGGTTTTACAAACAGACAACTTTACGGCGCACAGATTTTTTACACAGAGCAGCTTTTACGCAGCGAAGCTTGTACACACAGGGGGCTTTTTTACACAGAAGCTTTTACATAAGTTTTTTTTAATACACAGAAGCTTTTACACACAGAAACCTTTACACACAGAAGCTTTTACACACAGAAACTTTTACACACAGAAGGTTTTACACACAGAAGCTTTTAACACAAAAAAACCTTTAAACAAAGGAGCTTTTACACACAGACGGGTTTACACAGAGAAGTCTTTAGGGAGGCGTTTACACAGGAAAGAGTTTACACGGAAGCGTTTACACAGAGTAGTTTTTACACAGAGAAATCTTTACACAAAGAAGTCTTGACACAGAGAAGCTTGCACACACAGAGGCTTTTACACACAGAAGCCTTTTACACAGAGCGGCTTTTTTCACAGAGGAGCTTTTACACAGAGGAACTTTTACACAGAGAAGCTTGTACACTCAGAGGCTTTGACACAGAGAAGTCTTTTACACAGAGAAGCTTTTGCACACAGAAGCTTTACACAAACAAAACCTTAACACAGAGAAGCTTTTACAGACAGAAGCTGGTACGCAAAGAAACTTTCGCAAACAGAAACTTTTACACACAGAGCGCGTTTTACACAGAAGATTTTACACACAAGAGCTTTTACACCAAAAACCTTTACACAGAGAAGTTCTTGCCCACAGAAGCTTTTACTTGCAGAAGCTTTTATGCAAAGAAGCTTTTGTACAGAGAAGTCTTTACCCATCTTTTATCATGTCTCATTTTTCATGATCATTTGACATCTGTCACCTTCATATATATCTTCGTTTTCATGCTCTTTTGGTCAGCTCCCTCTGTCGTTTAATTTTCATTTCGTTCTGTCCGTCCACGCTTCGTGCTCGCTCCCTCTGCGGCGAAGCAAACCAAACGAGAACGCAGAAATAGATAGCGACTAGACAGATGGGATAGAGTTAATTACATTAACAGAAATAGCGACTAGAAGACTGTAGGCGTAGCTGACACAGCATGCTGTGGTGAATCGTGGCCCCTGATACCATCAGTGCGCACGATGTTTAAGTAAAGATCTTACGTCGATTTCGTGCAGAGCACAGCTGGCCACACCCCAAGATTTTCAAGAAAAGGCGTGCTGTGTGCCGTCTTGCTTTTGGGTTCTCTGGCCCACCTTGTTTTGTATTTTTCATCCAAACTTGCGAAGACGATCAGCTGACTCATCTCGTTCAGTCGTTTGAAGCCACCAGCCTGTTGTGATTGGCACCAGTCGTTGGCAGAGATGTTGATTCCAGTAGCTCATCGTAGCCTATTACCCTCTGGTAAACTAACATAACCATGGAAAATCACAATTTTTTTATGGGAAAATCCACTATAAATGGCCATTTTCAATAGCTATGTTAAATTACCAGAGGGTACATATTAATCGTACGTTCATCATATTGCATCCTTAAGCTCGGCCAGTACAAGCCAAGAAGCGAATCTGCAGCTGGTATCCACCATCGTGGCGATATTGGTGACACCTGCTGTGCGAGTGGCGCAGACGACTATGTCACCCTGGATGCTGATTTGGACTTTGGGACATTTCAGGTTCCAAAGGTCACCAAGGGTGCCTTAGCCAGCCATGAATGTATCGCCGCTTTGATACTCCAAGCCAATCCATATCACGGCATATCACGGCATATCACGGCATATCACGGCATATCCAAGCTTCTATATTGTCACTCAAGCGGGGCTTGCTGCCATGAAATTTCCCGTAGATGTTTTGATGGCCAGGGACCTGATTTCTGGGAAGGGACTAAATGCAGTGTAGGTGTGGAGGCCTAAAGTCGCAAAGCCTGGCTCCAGATCGCCGTCGCAAATGAGGTGGCAACAGGACAACGAGGAAAAAAATTGCAGAGGCCAGGGGCCCAGTCTTTGTTGAACACTGTTGAACACTGTTGAACACTGTTAGCTTCGGCTCGTCCAAGAGATCAGCCAAGCAGCTAGAAATGGAGGAATGAATTTGGTGTACCTGGTTCATCCATGTTCATCCTGGTTCGTCCCCGGGGGAAATTCATCGATTTCGCCACGATGTCGCCCGCCTAAATCGGTCATCGATTTACGGTCAGGGCCAGGGCCGGCGACTTGGTTTCGGCTTCCGTGATGGAAATCCTGGAAAAGAAATTCATCAGCAGTCAGCCTCTGTGAAGGAAATGTCTGTAGACCAGGCTCTCAGGAGGCGAGATCGGCGAGATGAGATATATGATATATCGAGATGTCGGGTCACGGGTGCAAAAAAGTCATGATATTCATATTATGATTATGATATTTGTTTGATTTCCAATATTCACATATATTCAATATGATGCATATGAATTAATATGATATTCATGTCATACATACAATGTGGATTTGTCTGGCAGTAGAGTATTATACACCGAAATCCATCGGTCAATCATCACTTTCCCTTGAAAACCGGTTAAAGTGGGGGTATACCGATAATTAACCATGTTTGCAGACAGATCCATATTTTTTTTTTCGAACCTTGCCATTGTGTGGATCCACCCATGCTAAACACAGCACCGTCATCTTGCTTACTACTATGGTTCACAATGGCAGGAATCCCTACTTCCGGACTAGCGCGGTTGAATTCTCTTGAATTCGTTCAAGGCTGAGAAGTTCAAAGTTAGAGGCGAACTTGCTCCAGGAATCTTCACATGAAATTTGATCTATTGCGATGTTTTCATGAACGTGTGACATTGCGAGCAGAGTAGAGTGGCTCACATGTCATTCAAAGATTTATTCCAAGAATCATGGAAAGTGCCATGTTTCCGCTTGGAGCAATTGGCTTTGTGTATGTAAGAACACGAGAACTATTGAGGATTATCCTTTGGTTTGGTTCCTTTTTAATGTGCTTCCCAACCTTCATTCTGAAGGCGCGAAAGCCTTCCATATTGGTCACAGTTGAAAGGACTGCAGTGAATGCTACGAAGGGTCCACGGTTGAACATATTCATGTTTGTTCCCTCCATGATTGGATTGGATGCTTTGAGTATGGTGTTTCTGTAAAACGTTGCATTGTCACGAACGCAAGGAGAGATATCACCTGAAAGTAAAAGGCAAAAAAAAATGTGTGATCCATTCAGAATCCAGTGATCAATCGTAAGTTTCAAAGTGACATGGCAACTTTAGGGGTATACGGTATAGCCCATTTTCGTATAACCCCAGTTGTATCCTTCCCATGATCCTTGCTGCTGTGGCAGCGCTCAATAAAGCCATGCTACCTTGTCTTTCTCTTCAGAACCAGTTCGACCCTGTGCAGTTGTTTCAACCATATTATTCCATTTCCCCCCGTGTTTCCCATTACTTCTGAAATGTTATAGCCATAGCATGTTCATATATTTCAAATCTTGGCCTAGAGCCGGCATGTCATGTTGTTTGGAACAATGCATTTAGTTTTTTTAAAGCGAAAAAAAAAAGGGTGGAATTCTTTGGATCTGTTTGTTTTTTTTGTACATCTTTTTACGTGTTTCACATCAGCGTCAGACGTCAGGTTGATGGAATTTATGGAGGTGACACCAGAGACGTTGGACCAGCGCTGCCGTTACCCCGAGTCCAACGACCTTGGAGAAATCCTCTATGGAGTGGATGACGTGTGCCACTCGAACGAAGCCTCGTTGGATTTTACGTTATGAAAAAACATGTCATAACTATGGAAAATCATAATTTTTAATGGGTAAATCGGTAAATCAACTAGAAATGATCATTTTCAATAGCTATATTAGTTTACTAGAGGGTAGATGTAGTTAACATATGTGAACTAATATAGCAGTATAACAAGGTAGTATAACAAGCTAGTATGTGCTAGTTACTACTTAACATTTAGCAACTAGTTACTACTTAACATTAGTCAACATTAGTTCACATGTGTTAACTACCTGTCAACTACCCTTTCACCTACTAGTGCAACATTGTACACTACTACGACAAAGCTGTCGACGCTTCTTTCAGCTTATAGCTTGCAATCATTACTACACGTCCACGCACAGACGCCATTTATGCATACATGTGCCACATATGCTATGTTGGAGGCAAAATTGAATTTATTGATCCTAGCCAGGTAATGCAGACTTTTGTGTATCCCATTGGCCAGAGGCTAAAAAGGGGGTGCTTCTCTTGCCAGTGTTCTGCAATACAAATGATTGAGGCAAGGGAATCATTTATACTTGCTTTTCTCGGGCCAGTTTTACTACTGAACCTCTTGATTTTCACTCTTCTCTGGTGAGGGGAGAAAGTAGTCACTCCAGACACGCGGTTTCGGCACGCTGGAAACTGTGGCCAAGAAACCAGTTGCCCCAGATCCTTTGTGTATCTCGGGTGGTGGCTGTCCATTGAATGAGGACTCTCCAGTGACCAGGATAGTAGCAATAAGGAAACCAACCGAATTCAATGATGTCAAACACTCAAGGGGACATGCAAAACTGTGGACTCAGAACATGGTGCTGAATCGATAGGATTGAAACTGTCCAGAGAATTCAGCAGTTTTCAGTGAAACACAGTGAAACACAGTGAAACACAGTGAAACACAGTGAAACATAGTGAAACACAGTGAAACACAGTGAAACACAGTGAAACACAGTGAAACACAGTGAAACACAGTGAAACACAGTGAAACACATCAATAACACAGTGAAACACAGTGAAACACAGTGAAACACATCAATAACACAGTGAAACACATCAATAACACAGTGAAACACATCAATAACACAGTGAAACACATCAATAACACAGTGAAACACAGTGAAACACATCAATAACACAGTGAAACACAGTGAAACACATCAATAACACAGTGAAACACAGTGAAACACATCAATAACACAGTGAAACACATCAATAACACAGTGAAACACAGTGAAACACATCACATCAATAACACAGTGAAACACATCAATAACACAGTGAAACACAGTGAAACACATGAAACACATCAATAACACAGTGAAACACATCAATAACACAGTGAAACACAGTGAAACACATCAATAACACAGTGAAACACAGTGAAACACATCAATAACACAGTGAAACACAGTGAAACACATCAATAACACAGTGAAACACAGTGAAACACAGTGAAACACAGTGAAACACAGTGAAACACAGTGAAACACAGTGAAACACATCAATAACACAGTGAAACACATCAATAACACAGTGAAACACAGTGAAACACAGTGAAACACATCAATAACACAGTGAAACACAGTGAAACACAGTGAAACACAGTGAAACACATCAATAACACAGTGAAACACAGTGAAACACATCAATAACACAGTGAAACACAGTGAAACACATCAATAACACAGTGAAACACAGTCAATCAACACAGTGAAACACAGTGAAACACAGTGAAACACATCAACACAGTGAAACACATCAATAACACAGTGAAACACATGAAACACATAACACAGTGAAACACAGTGAAACACATCAATAACACAGTGAAACACAGTGAAACACAGTGAAACAATAACACAGTGAAACACAGTGAAACACATCAATAACACAGTGAAACACAGTGAAACACATCAACACAGTGAAACACATCAATGAAACACAGTGAAACACATCAATAACACAGTGAAACACAGTGAAACACAGTGAAACACAGTGAAACACATCAATAACACAGTGAAACACATCAATAACACAGTGAAACACATCAATAACACAGTGAAACACATCAATAACACAGTGAAACACATCAATAACACAAAATGTCTGAGCTTTGCGCTTTGCAAGGCAACGAGTACAGCTGCAAAGCAACAGAGATTGAAGATGCTTCTCGGTGAATGATGAATCCAGTGAGGCGCTGCTAGAGGCATAACCGGCACCGTATGTTGCACCGTATGTTGCATCATGTTGCATCGAATCCCGAAGGAACTCTTGGAATTTTTCGAAAGCAAGAACCAGATGAACAAGATGAACAAGATGAACCAGCACAATCGCAATTGCAAACGTTTCTCGGTGTGACAAGTTGCTGTGGAAATTGGTCAATTGTCAATTGGTCATCTCGCCTTCAAGGCTAGAGACCCTTTTTGAGACCTTTTTGGAGCTGTGAGATTTTCTGTTGCAACGATGTTGCCCAACGATGTTGCCCAACAACCAGGCTTGTATCGAGCCATCGTTCATGAGACTTGGTGCAGTATTTTTCCAGGGCTCTGCCAGTGCCAGTGCTGAAAATCCAGGCTCTCCCGAGGACTTTTAGAGGGGCAAAAAAAAACGCTGCTCCAAGTCACCATGTGCCAAATGTGTGCCAAATGTGTGCCAAATGTGTGCCAAATGATGCATCATTCGTTAGATTTGGATTTGTTTGGTCCCCAGCCTATCCGGTTTGTCACAAGTACTTGCAATTGTTTTTCTCAGAGCTCTTTTCTTAAGATACGGTGTGACTTTTGCACATACGGTGTGACTTTTGCACAACGAAATACGACTCCAAATGACCCCCGCAATCACTTTTGAGTATATACACATTTTTCAGACAATATTAATATCTCATGCATAATCCCATTGTTATTAACCATAATGATATTATCAATCAAGACCTCGTGGACGCCTAGCTTTGCACTCCTGGTTCATCCAAAAAAGAACGGCTGACACGGCTCCCTCCTTGCGCTGAGGAAGCATGCAATGAGAAGCGCAACGGCCATGTTTGGGGTGAGGAGAACCCCAAAGCTGCCATGGAGAAGCTGAAGAAAGAGCGAAACGCTGCAAAGAACATTGAGATGAGGAAAAAGATTCAGGCCTATGGCATGATATGGCCAGATGTTCAGCATTGTTCAGCAATTGCAAGATTTTGGTTTTTTTTGGAATTTTTGGTAGCAGATGGTAGCAGTGTTGTGGCATTGATCCAGTTCACATAGTGTCACCATGACATGGGGCTCACTTGGGCTCCAAGATTTAGGACCTAGATGGACCCTGGTTAATGCCGGCCTTCAAAACCGCATCTTTCAGGGCCGCATTAACCGCTTGAAGAAAGACTGGGAAAAAGACCTCGAGGATGATGAGGATGACGATGTCACCTTTGATCGAAGACAAAAAGAGCCCAGAAATGACTCGCGTATCAAGAAGTGCCACGTGTTGGTCATCTACTTCTTAAAAGATGGGCCCAAAGCATGCGCCAGAGTGACTCTATCCAAACATCTTCACCGATTCTTGGTGGTCTTCGTGTTTTCAGTGGGATGCATACTCTTACAACCTCTTACATGAGGTACATGGTATATGATCACATGTGCGTACCTCTAAATGACCGTAAAAACATGCGTGTAGAATTGTGTACTTATTAGATGTTCATTGACAATTGTTGTACATCTTCCGTACAGACATCAAATTCTCGCTCTTATTCCTTCGAACGTTTTAGAACATTTTAGAACACAGAAAGCTAGTGCGGCTAATTTGCAGAGGATTTTTCGCTGTGAATTCACAAGCTGCGCCTGAATTCGAGGAACCATCTCGATCCTTGATCCATGGACAGGGAGACAATATGATTGTTGACGTCCTGTGACGTCTTGGCCCCGTGGCAGCGTGTCATAGCGTGTCTTCGACGTTTCTCAATCGATGTCGGGAGGCCAACGCCCTCCGATCCAATTTTAATGGCGACAGATTGCCGGTTCTAGGAATTTCTAAGTTCAAGACACAAGATGACACAAGAAACCATTGGTGTGATTCCTTGCTTCGCCACAAAGACACAGTGAATGCGATGGTTCAATATCCCAATATCCCACTAGCAAGTGTCAGGACGGGCAAAAGCACCAGTCTGTGCGGTGATCATTGAATCACTGGTGGGAAAACGCGGCAAAGAGTGAACTTTGTTTCAAGATGTTTAAAGATAGAATTCAGATTTGCGCAATTCTGCACATCAAGTTTTCACTTCTGGTGAACAGCTAGATTGGTCCCAACAGCGCGCAATTAAAGGGCACACCACCGAATATCACCGAATTATGCAGGAACTTGCATGTGAAATTGCTGTCACAGAATCTCACAGACAGGACTCCAAAGAACCATGAAGTATCATTCTATCCCCATCACATGGCTCTTCCAGTACTGAGTAGAGTCAGTGAAACCTATTTGAGTGAGTCTTTGTCGAGAGGGACACAAAGACAAGTGGTCCAATCATGGTCCAATCGTGTCCAATCTATTGTAAGATTTGTAAGCGCCTACATTGTGTATACATTGTGTCAGAGCTGGCTGGTTGTTTTTCCGCACCTGCTGTGAGCATCTTGTTGCAGGACCTTCCAGTGGTGCATGTGGGACCAACGAGTGATGAAGAGATCGACACTTTGGTGAAGCAGGCGACGCGGCGACGGCCAAAAAAGTCATGATCCATCATGTCCAATGATCTGAAAATGATCTGAAACAGCTAAGGACCTGCAAAGAACCGTTAAAAGATCCTTGCAGGCACCGTTCTTCACTTTTTGTTGGTGTAGAGACCCGACGAATCCACGCCATAGCAAGAAGTATATCGCTTAAGAGGTTTTTCGACAATGCTAGGATGTTTGCAGAGGTTTCCACCCTTGAACATTAGAGAATAGAAGGGTGTGAGTCATCACGGAAATACGTCCGAATCCAAAAGACGTCTGATGCATTAGAAGAACCTTATGGGGAAGCTGGCAAAGTCTCGCGACTATCATTGCCCTAAAGCGCGGCACAGGAACGAGTTGCCGCATGGAAAACCGTGGGAATGATGGCCGCGGTCTTTGCAGTTTATGTTGCCTTGGCCGGGACTCCCAGGAATCCTGGGTCTCGTCCTGGGACTCATCCGTTTCCCTTTGGAGGTTTCGGACATATGGAGTGAGGTCCGACCTGTTTTCCCGATGGCTGTTTGAACATGTTCGAAAAGAAAAAGACCGTGTACTGCGATGTACTGTAGGTCCAATTTCAGACAATCGGTTGGTTGCGGACTTAACGATCTTGACGGGTATAAATTTCGGTATTGCGCACTCGCTGAATCCATCTGAATCCATCTGAATCCTTGGTGTTGTTCCATCTGTGATTGCCATTCTTTACCTGCCACAATAAATCGTCAATCCAAAGTGTAGGGATGTTTTTTTTTGACCAGTGTGCTGCTGTCAACTGTCAACCTCATGATCACTGATCCCGTTTTTCGGCAGGTAGCGCTGCTGGGATGGTGTTATACCAAGCTTTGGTCCCTTTGCAGATCGTATGTCCAGGGATGTCGGTCAAGGATTCGTTGGGTGAATTGGAAGTGGATTCTAAGAAGCGCGTCTCCTGGGGAGAGTTGCTGACCTTACCCTCTGGTAAACTAAGATAACTATGGAAAATCATAATTTTTAATGGGAAAATCCACTATAAATGGTCATTTTCAATAGCTATGTTAAATTACCAGAGGGTATCACTTCTTCTCACTTCTTATCACTAGTGGCTTAGTGGATCTTAGTGGTTTGTTGTGGCTTAATGGAATTGTGTTTTTTATTGTGACGGATCAGATCCCACCGGAAATCTGAACGATGATCCAGTGGGATGAAGCCAGCCAAATAACTATTTCATACTATTTCGATTTAGGCATAGATAGTGGATCTATGTGGATCTATCATGATCTATCTGGATCTATATCTGGATCTATGTGGATCTATTCTCATTGGAAAAGCCTGCCACTCCTCGTGCCTTACCCTCGAAACAAACCGGGAAAATCGTCATTGGGGTGATGATTTAATCGATTTCCCTCTCAAGCATGCTGATTGCTGATTTCAAAGTTGGCTTTCTGGACTTCAAACCCCTCGATTCTTGCGTTGATTCCATGTGGGGTATATTTACCTCTCAAATAAGGTGGCTTCATTCGGCTTCATAGAAAAAATGGATGGTATCCCAAAAGGTCAGTTTTGGTATGCACTCTGTAGGCGACCCTGCCTTTTGGGGGAGCAAAAAGAACACATGTGACCGTGGTGAGCCAACATGCCATCTCAGAGCCAATTGAGGCCCCTCCGGTCACTTTTCCGCGAACAATAGCCATTGTATTGACAAAATGATAGTGACAATGGCGCTATTGTTGAGGCTTAGACAGTTCAACTTACTGAGGTCAACTCCCGTGATGTCCGAGTCGAAGCCTGCACCTTGTTCACCAAGAACTGCTTACCCTCGAATCCAACATGGGTTGGAAAATCCACCATAAATGGTTTGTTTTCGAACATCACCGATCAAAATGGAGGATGTTCTAGCAGGCCATGTTTGAGAACAGGGTAACCGGGTAACCCATCCGCTTTCCGCTTGCAACTTTGGCAAATCCGGTGTTTGAAAGGACCATAGCAAGACCGGATCCTATGGTTGAAATACCGGATTCTATGGGCGACGCTGGTGCTGGTGATCCAAATTTCAGATTGAGGTTGGAAATGATAAATAAGAATGCTGATAGATACATTTGGAATCATTTGGATACCTTTTTCAAGACGCATTTTTGGATTGCTTTGACGCAATCCCACTGTCGTCTGTCCCAAGGCAAGCAATTTTCTGGTGAGACAAACACAACTTGGTGTATGATTTGATACTGTATTATGATGTATCCTCAGGTAATCAAACATTTTCCTTGCAAATCATCCCTTTAACGGATGATTATTCCATAAATCATCCCTTTAACGGATGATTATTCCATATTTTGCCATGTTTTTTGTTGCCTATTTATAGGGGATTGTCCCATGGCTATCTTTGGTTACCAGGTTGGTTAGTCCTCACCAAAACCAAGGACGTCGAGGTGGAGGAGTTCAGGCACGGAGTCTTCAGCTGCTTTGAGGACTGCACACCATGACTATCTGAAAATGGTGGTAGTTCACATGAGAACTCCCCAACTTATCGCCCTTTAATAGGGACAGTTGATGATAATTGGATATAATTTGGATAATGATTTACAACAGTGGGTTTTGGTGCCTCTTTTCAGACAATCCCACATTGTGATGAAATTTCTCATGGAAACACAGCTTCAAAAAATACCGCAAGTCTTCCCAAGGCATCAATGATCCTGCCAAGAAATCCGCAGTCTCGAGGATATGCATATTTGTGCCCTCTCCTTCTGCTGCATGCCCTACCGCTGGGTCCGACACTCGAGGGCTGCTGTTGAAGCGCCATCCAAAAGATGGTAGACATTGGAGTAACTTGAAAAGAGCATTGCAAATGTGGAAACTGATAGGAACTACAATGGCGTTTGCTAAGCCTGTTCGAACATGTTCGCACAAGATACGATAAGGAACGTGCTTTTTGAACTCCTCCTGAGCAAAACCATCAATCAGAGTGACGGGGAAGGAGTTTTGGGAGTGGCAAGCACACCAAAGCTAGGTCTTTGCGAGTCAGCATAAGTCGCGTTCCAACTGCTCAACTAGTCATCAGATCCGTCGAGATTTCCCAAATTTCCCCAAAACAGTTTTGGCCAACGCTAGCTGTTGGCTATAGCGGGCTAGCTCAACTTCAATGCAGATGATATGCGAATCCATCAAGATGCACATTTCCATCATTTTCCATCCATATGTCGTGTACGCAATTCGATCCCCATCCGGAGATCTGTCGGAAAGGGGGACTTTCACCCGGCAATTGCCTTGTCCCGGGATCATTTGAGCTGCTCTTTCAGTGACCAATGATCAACATCAAGTGGATTTCGAAATCCGTATCGCCCTGAAATATCTGAAATGAAATCGGAAAATGCCAGGCTTTCAGCACCTGAGATTTCCTTTCAAATAGCAAGCCTCTTTCCCGAAACTTGAGTGAACAGCATTTCATCTGACATGTTTTTCCGAACATCTTGCAGGAATGCATAAATTTCGCCAGAAATGAGCCTGAAATCAGCCGTGTTCTTTGCAGAGGATGGTGTTTCCACATGTTTCCAGGGGATTCAGGGCGTCTTGAGGCTGACACCATGAAGGCAGCTGGAGTGATGAGCTACTTGGTCTGTGCAAACCACCGGATCTACCAGGAATCGAACCGGAAAAAAAAAGAACGGGTCCATCAATCAGCATTTTTTCGAGATATCCAGTATTGCAGTGGGTCTGGATGGGTCTGGCCTTCGCCACAGTGTAGAGAGGACCATCATCCGAAAAGCAGGACCGCCAAGTGTTGCTGAGAACGCACATGATAGAGGAACCAATTAATGATTTCCGAAAAAAACGACTAGCCCTCTCCCAGCCGAAAAAAATGACTAGCCCATCATTCAAGGTTGGACGCCCGAGGGGCTCAGGAATCGGCTGGAAGTGATTCCTGTGAACTGCCCAAAGTACCCACATTGTCGGTCAGATCCTCTCGGTCAGGTCCCAGTTATTGTTGCTTCGTGAATCTAAAGATTCTAAAGATGTTCCGAGAATTCTGCGGAGAATATTGGAGAATAGAATATAGAACCCACAATGACCAACTGGCAGAGATTTCTCCCTGATGGATGTGATCCTGTGATCCATGGCCATTGTCACTGACAAAATTCCAATGGTATCCAGCGGAAATCCGGGGTAAGTTGCAGGAAGCGTTGATCAGCTGTCACGAATGGTTTGTCCCGCGTGGAAGTTCCCAATAAGGTGGAAATGTTGAAGTGCAATTTTGCCACAGTTTCCATGTTTTTTTTTCCCGACATGGTGATGAACACCTCGTATGCCTCAACTTTTTTCTGTGTGGTGCCAAGGCTTTTGGACCGGTGTCTTGATCTTCTTTGTCGTTTCCAATCTCCGCATGTGGGCGCAGGTGGGATTGGGTTTTTGGAGGCTCCCCGGGTTGGATCACGATTACCAGTGATCACATGTGATTACCATGGCCATGGCACATCGACCAGCATCGACCATCGACCATCGACCAGCTCAGGACTATGGCCCGATCCTTGGTCTGTCTGCAACTTGGCTTTAAGGCGACCAGGCGACCAGGAGGGAAGAACTCTTGAAGTCTGCCATGTCATACCATGTCACTATGTCACAGTCGAATTCATTGGTTCACAATGATTTGGGACTCTCTTGAATGGTTGCGCACAATTCCAGGATGCGAGCATGTGGATGATCCCGAAAACAGAATCACCTTGGTCAAATCTCAATTATGTCCGGGGAGTTTCTGCACAGGATTTCCACACATTTACCATACATTTACCATACATTTCCCATAAAAACAAAAGACAACCCCTTCAAAGATCGATCGTCCAGGCCTGGATTTGCTCTACATTGATCTTCACGTGACCTCAGACTCGGGCAGATTTTGAACCTTCGCTGGGAAACAAAGATGCCCCCAGATGCCGCCAGATTGAGCTGATAAGTTTGATAAGTCTCAAAGTTGATATAAGTTGATCAAACTTATCAATTTTGGGTGGATGATCATAGACCAACGATCTGTTTTTACCCCATTCGAGGAAACCCCCGAGGAAGGTTCCCCTAGCAAGTCGAACTGAGAGGTACAGCTTGGCTGAAGGATATCCTCCGTACCCTGCAAATTCGCCCTAAATGGACGTTCTTACTCAGATTAATGTGGGCAAAACAATAATAAACCACCCATTTGGGAATGGTACACATACCACCTATATATTTATGGTGAAATTGGGGGATGGTTTTCAGATGATCCCACATCAGATTTTGGCGGGACAAGTGAGATGCCGAAGCTGAACAGTCCATTGAGCCCTTCAGGGGGATATGATGGATATGTGGGATATATGTGTTAAAATTTTGGAGAAAGATCGACATCTTTCAGTCGGCTTGCACCAAGCAGCTTAGCATTGATTCGCCAGCCAACGCTATTCTACTGATGACAATGATAATGCCCGGAATACAGCCCCTCGAAGGTACTACCGACAGCAGTTGCGACAAATCTTTTCCATCAAGAACGACACCATGGACAAATTGAAGGCCAAAGGGAAGAAAATCTCTGGTTTGACATGCATGATAAATAGTCCGACTTCACCTCTAAGTGAGTTCAAATTCCTAAGGGTAGCACACACAGATACCTTGATAGTCTAAGCCTCCCACCCTTCGAGGTGAACTTTGCATGATTTGGAGGTACGTACTAGGACGACGCCCATATGCACACCGACACACAGATTTTGTTGAAGGAAATCGATTGGTTTTGATTGTTGGTGAATTCCAAGACTAGCAAGACATTAACCACGACGGTACACCACGAGTGTTGAGCAAGATTGTGATCAGCAAATCCAGCGTTTCATGCTGTGTAGCCGGCCCGGATTTTCCTGGACGCCGGATTTCACTCAGGACTTTAGCCTTTGGTGCTGCTGTTGCTGCTGTGCTGCAGCACAAGAAGCACGCCAGGTGCCGGAGAGAGCTTGGAGTTTGAAAACGTTTCGAAATCTGTTTAGCAACAATGTCAGATAATGATAGATAATGTAAGTAAGATCTGGAAAGATAGTTGCCAAATTTCGAACCAAGCACACCAGTTGTCCATATCAGGCGTTTGCTGTATCGTGCTGCACTTTTTGTGCCAAAAGTAGCAAAGCGTACAAGCTTGCATTGTGTTGTATTGATTGTGTTGAAAGTAGAGCTGCGAGGGGCCTAGGTCGCAAAGGCGTTCAAGAAAGATCGACGAATTACGCAGACTGCTGCATTTTCTAGATGAAAACCAGGAAAATGTTTGTGTGTGTGTGTGTGTGAATGTATGTGTAGGTGTGTGGGTGTGTGAGTCAACAGCTATTTCCAAGCAGCGCCAGCTAGCGCCCTCAAAATTCAGCTTTAAGTTTATCAAGCAGGGGGTAGAGGGGACTTCCCAACGAAGTTCTTTGCAAGGTCAAAGATGGCATGCGGCTTCCACTTGAACCGCCCAGTCTATAAATCGAAACGCTAAGGCAGGTCAGGTGTATATATCAATATTGTGCCTTGGGTAACTGAGCAGATCACACACGCAGCGATTCTTCTCTCGAATCAAATGACTTGCCAGCCTATGCGTTGAAATAGGTTGCTGTTGTCGTTCCGTGCTCGGTTCATTAACAAACTGCGTGTCAGTAAATTTTTCCTGCATTTGTTGCGCGCATGTTTTCCGGCGAAACAAGGTGCAGTTGTGTGCCTCGAGTAGCTGAGTAGCTCCGAATTCTCTGTGTGAATTGATTCAGCGGGTACTGGTACAGTAGAGCATCATTTTCCAGATACCATCAGTCAGGTCATTCACTACATGCTGTTCAGAAGTTCACATAGTCCAGCGCTGTAGGTACAGCAATTCTTTTTCGTCTTGGCTCCACTGATATATTCTTCGAGCGGTACACTTCATTTTCTCAATGGAAAGAGAACACTTGACACTCCACACTCTACACTTTACACTCCACGGTCTACACATTACACTCTACACTTTGCACTCCACACTTTACACTTTACACTCGACACTTCACACTCCACAATCCCCACTTCACACCCTACACACAACATTCCCCACTCAACACTCCTCTGTCTTCGCACTCCACACTCTGCACTCCACTCCATTCCACACTCCACAATCTACACTGGTATGGTAACACGGGAAGAATGTACAAGACTGTTGAAATAACTTGTTTCACAAAAGTGTTTTACGTGACTGCATATCTACCAGTATGTGTTTTGATGTGTTTTGACATCTGTACCATTAACATACGTGTGTTCCCACGGGTTCGTGGGTTCGTGGGCTGCATCTTGTTTAATACGATATTTGAGCCTCCGTGTTGACTTCCCAACAGCTGGACGTAGAACTATTCTAGGACCAATCATAGAGTCTTTGGATCAGCCTAAAAACAATTGATATGCATAGACCATCATAGACCATCATAGACCATCATAGACCATGTATGGCATTCTTGATATTTGGGTCGGTGGTCAACCTACAGCTATAAGTTTTTCCCTCATAACATGTGCGCTGATCCCGGATAGCAGCGGTGTCACCGATTCCGTCTTTTCAAGCCATTTGAAAGGATCAAGAACTGTTGAACGTGTTCAACAAATTTTTATGATTTCGTTATATTTCCTTCCACGCTCACGCTATGTTTCCCACACCTTGATGTACTGATCATTTGACATCTTACGACATGTGTTTGTGTGCATATATGCCATATATGTGTGTTATGTTGATACAGTCATTGTAGCAGGCCTTAGCAGGTTGTGTTCGCTTCTTGTCGCAGGTTCAGATGAAGAAGTTGGACGTGTGAGTCTCTTGCTTCATGGATTTGGATGGGTCTTCGTGGAGTTCCTGCCACAAAATGCAGATCAAGATTTACCATATTTCAAGGTTCAAAAAGTGCAATATGTATACCTTCGAAGTTGTGAGGCTTTCCAGAGGTGCCAAATCCTGTGAGTTACTTCAAGGACGTCTCAATGAGACCCGCCTGAGTTTCGAAGACAAAAAGAAGCGACGACTGCGTTTTGAAGGACATGGGATTTCCACGTCGAAAGGATGGCTTAGGGCTTTGTTTGAAAATAGGTGCCTCACCATCATATTCCCCAATAATATTATACATAATATATATATATATATAAACATATACACATATTTCTGCCATTTGATGGGTATCCCCCATTTTCAGACACATGACGACTTATTGATTTGGGTACCCTTAAGATGCCTCTGTGATCATGTGTTTCCTCCAGGTGATCATGGTCTAAAGTTTCAAAGTCTGTGGTTCCATGGAGAATGCTGACCAATGCTGACCAATGGTCATCTTCATCTGGTCAGTTTCCAAGACTCTGCGCTGTGAAGCTGCCACGATGCAATGCAATATCGTGCAATACGCTGCCCAACATGCTGAGCTGGCTATCAAAAGATTACCACGGACACCCACCCGCCACGTGCTTTCAGATGAAGAACTGAAGAACCATGAAGTTTTACTCCGCACTTCAATGTAAATTAACAGATATTAACGGGTCCTGGTGAATATCGAAAAGCGAATCATGAAACCCAGTGAACCCTTCGAAGCTGGCGCACAATGCGAAGTGGTTCCTGAAATCTGTAGTTGGGGGTCAGTCCAAGCGGTTGCGAAACTGGTTGGAAGACAAGGATGGGGCGATTACGGCCTTGTTTATCACGCCAGTTCTTGGGCTCAGAAAGAATCCCCCGGAGCAAATGGCGCGGCGAGCCGCAAAAGTGGTAGCCATGGGTCAGCAAGTGACCATTAAAAGCCTACACTGATGCTCTGAACCGCAGGCCGCTTACGCTACCTCGAGAGTTGCATGTACATCTGGCCTTGGGTCCGTAGCACACAACTAGGATCAACTAGGGAATACTAGATACAATAGGCCAAAGGAGGTGATTCTCTCAGAATTCAAAATTCAAGAACTTGTTGAATGACTTTACAACATGACTTGCCTCATGTCTAGCATTGTTTCGCAATCCTTCGCATCACCTCACGATGCTTCAGTGCTCTGCAAAGATACATTCAACATACATTCCTTTATATGTCGTAAGGAAACGGACTGCCAGAGCCGAGTGCGTGAGAGAAGCTCTGTCACACACTCCCATTCATGGCCATGTCGATGTCGAAACGCCACAGGGGGAGCAGAAAGGGAATGCGATGGAAACATCACATCGCGAACTTCTGATCAGCGCCTAGACCATTTGAGTATATTTGAATCCATTACCATTTGGGGATGGCGAGGGACCTCGAGAGTATTCGAGTGCCACAGAGATGTTGAGTCATCATGAGTCATCCATAGTTCCATCAGATTCCGGCATTGAAGGGTCCGATCATGGTGGCCCAAGGGGGCCTCCCGTCATATCCTGCAAAGTTGTTGAGGGCTTGCATTCCCAACTAGCAACTCAATGCAACTCATATCATGCAAATATCCGGCAAATTGATGCAATATACATCTATATTGAATATAATATATATAGATACACATCAGTATATCAAGTTACACATCTCCAAAATCTGGGGACGTTGAGGTATTTTGAGTGATGTTGAGGGTGCAAATCTATCAGCCCACCAAGGTAAAGTACCCAATGGAGCGGCACCTCGGCAGCGTTCAGCCTTCGTGGCATTGTCCATGTCCATATCATGTTTATAATATCATATAATATCTATGATTTATGATGATTTATGTATGTTTGTACTGAGACCCCACCTGCAATGTCTCAGGTGCAAGGCCTTGTTGTTCTTGATACGCGCACACTCCTCGATAGAGAAGTTGTACAGATACATCATGAAGTCTGTGTACTAATTGCGTCTAAAAAGCATTAATAGCATACATCATGCTTTATATATCTTTACATGCTATACATGCTACATGGAATGCCATTGCCATTACCAATGGCTGATTCCTACGTAGCGGTGGTCTCATTTAACTGGCTGGAGAGGCAAAAATTGCACCAGCTCCGAGTGCCGGCTTCGCAAGATCAGAAAGCATGGGGTCTCGGTTGTGCTTGCCTGGCTACAACGAACCATAAAGGTTCATTTGCATTTCTCGCTTCTTTGCATTATATTTTTACATAAGTATATATTTACATTCATATTTATATATAAACATATTAAACTATATATATATACATACATACACATTTATCTGTGTATGTATACATATATACATATATGGATACATATATGTATATATATAATGTACAAATATATTATGTATATATATATATCTTATGTACATATACATATATGGATACATATATGTATATATAATGTACAAATATACTATGTATACATATATATCTCTTATGTACATATATATATATTATGTATATATATATGTATATAGTATGTATATATATATATACATGGGTATGCTATTTACATATGAATGTATACATAGGGATATATTTGTTTGTGTGCATATGTCTCCTCCATTGTCTTCCAAAGCGAACCACAGCCAAGTGGGTGACCTTCTCTGTCGGTGCGCGGTCCGATCCTATTCTGAAGTAAACCATCTCTCACTTTGTAAGGTAGACTCAGACGAGTTGGCGTTCTGTTTTCCAGAACATGCCGGCTAAGAAACATTAGATGAAGCAACCAGCCATATTTGTGTTTGATTTACAGAAAACATGTTTAAAAAAACACACCCAGTTGGCCCAGTACCAGTACATATTTTGCAAGGAGATCCAACATATTCTGACATAGTCAGTGACTTGACTAGTTATGTCACACGCGGCATTTATGGAGGTTACTGGATGCTGGCGACATTTTTGTCCTTTGCGTCTTTGTGCCTGTTCAGGTCACATTAGCTCCTCCAGTGCGATCATTATCGAGGCTGAAGCATGCCGTCAGAGGCCTGAGTTGTTGTTCAAGCATTTCTGTGGTCATTCACCTGAAGTATCACCCGCTATGCATGAAAGGGGAGAACATGTTTGGTCGCCCCAATGCTTTTGCTGATTAGAATGCGCTCAGTGTGTATACAGTTGAACACGAACGTTATTAGGGGGCTTGTGAAACGTGCACAACTTCTGTGAAACGTGCACAACTGCTGGGAAACGTGCACAGCTGCTGGGAAACGTGCACTGCACAACATCTCTGAAACGTGCACATATAGAATACTTGAAAAGACTGGGTGGGGGCCGGTGAAACACGTTATACTCGCATGAAAATATTTCATCAGATGGACCAACAGGGACAGAATAGCCATAGCAAAGCCACAAGGGCTCTCAGATTTCCCCACATGGCAGGTACAAGCGACTACATCCAAAAGATTGTGCTGATGATGAGAAGGTGACAGCTGTGCTGTTCACCAACAAGGGATGCGCATGGCTTGGAAGGTTCTCTCAGCGCAAGAGATAGCCGGGGGATTGTTTGTTACCGTGCTCTTCAGCTTAGACTGGACATATTCCAAGATTCTTAGTGGATCACAGCTCTCCTCACACAAAGTCTGCGTTCCATCACTCAGCATCACTCAGCGCTGTTCTTCCAACAGGCGGTCCAAAGAATAAAATCGTCAAGAATGATATCAGTTCGATGATTTGGTTTGCCATTTGCCGCTTAGTATAAGAAGAAACATGGCTAGATAAGCAAGTTCACGGATATGTATTTGAATCAACTCAAATGATGCTTGAGTCACTGGGATGAATGGAAGTTGAACATGATAGCAAAATATTAAAGTAAACAAAGTAATCAAACAAGTTTGATTTCAATCACTGAACTTGTCTTGCTCGCCCACCATGTTGCCCAGGACTATAAGACCTTGGTGCACACTCTCACGCAAGAGAGGCGGACATCAAAACGACAAAACGACAAAACGACAAAACTGTGACGGCCATCACCGTGACATCACCCACACTTTTTCACGGGGCTGCCCGTTGGTGATGCCCGTTGGTGATGGCCGTTTTTTGTGTCGTTTTTCGATGTCAGGCTCTCAGCCATTTTCAAGACCAAGATTGAAGAGGGTGCGTCCGGAATCCTCAGACACTGAATTCATTGCAAAAGGATGAAGAAACATAACAGTCGACTGTTGGGGTTCAAACAATTTCAAACACTATAAAAATCGTTAGAACACTTTTCAAATACTTTTTATATTTCATGTTATCATATGTTTCCCTGGATGCTGATTCCAGTCGACCAAGATCTTTTTTGTGATGGCTTGAAACCACCGACTAGATAAGAGAATCACTGAGAACTTGTTACGCTGATTACCAAGACAGCGAGGTTCTGCCGGTTGGGTTCAGCTACTGCTGTGGCAGTACTATCAGAATCTCCCTCTTGGCTGGCAAAATCATTGACATTCATGTGCCCCTGGAAAGTAAGTGTAGGAGTTTCAAGTGCAATTTTTAAAAGGAGTTTTATGATATGGCTATGGATCAATACCTATAGATACAGTTTATTAGGGGATGAACATCCATTTGCCACCTATTTTGATGTTCACCAGGGCTACATGGTTTTGACCCATTCCCATATCTTGTTGAGACGGGCCTCGTGAACCACCCAGCTCCTGTCATGGCTTGACTCACGCCGACTCACCGCTCAGGTGCAAGACAGGTCTGTGTGGTTTGAAGGAGGAACAAGCACGGGTCTACTTCAATGTGTGAGCCATGACCGGTGCTGGGCGCTGTTTGTTTGGGGGGGAATGCTGTTTGTAAACTACCGACAATAAATGTTACCATCACACAGCGACTCCCAGATAATTCGATATTCGATGAATGTTCACTGGGATGGGTTTAAGAGCTCCGCAGCATCCAAGTCTTCACGTCTACAGTTGCTATAACATATTCTAACTGAAATTCTAACGACCCAATGGCTCACATTTGCACCTGAAGCCAACCCTCGAATACCCTAGACGGGACCCTAGATACTAAATAATTATATCTAAGTGTTCATGACCAGACTGCAGAACTGTTTCTGAATAGTGAAGCTAGATGAAGCTTGGCCCTATGGGTTAGTCCTGCAAATGGAGCCCACTTTAGGCCCCTGTGAATTGAGAAACGATTGAAATCAATCATGAAATTCATGGGAAATGGTGGGAAACCCATAGGATTTAGGGATCTTTGAGGGTACCTTACATTCGTACCCTACAGACAATTCCACAGATTTCCATAGGTATGGCAAGAATGAGATCACGCCGCCGAAGCGAGAGAATATTTGGATCAAACTGCTGAGGCGGAAACAAATGGGGAAATTAGCATCTGAAGAAACCTCCCTCTGAATATCTCTGAATCTCTCGTAAGCGAGGGCCGGATCCTCATAGTTAATGGGTTTCATTGGGAATCCTGGACAAAGCACAGGCGTAGGGCAGCAACACCGGCTGTGAAGCTATGAGAGTCGTGACTGTCCCTCTCACTTTGTCGATCAGATGAATCCGATAAACTGCCAAGCTTCCATCACCCCTGAAATCAACATCGAGTGGTGCCAGCAGGTTTGGATTTGCGCTGCCCTTTACAAGTTGCCCACTAGAAGGGCCAAAAGTCTCCAAAGGTGATATTGGTTCAGTTGGTTCCTATCCATCAATGGATTGGTTTATGGGAAAAATTACAGGAAAGCCCCATGATCTTCATGGGAACATCTATGGTTTCCGGTTAAGATTTTCCCAAGAAAACCCAATCCATTGAATCCAAAGAGTTACATCATCTTACGGCCCAGGCAGACCTTCCTTGGCATTTTCAACATCCTCTTGTGGTCCTGTGTCATCGCAGAGGCGGTCCTTATGATCTTGACGGACTTCAAAACTCCAATCGGAATCCGTGTGCAGCAGATGCAGCAGATGCAATTCTTCGGCAAATGATTTGCATCGAAAGAACTCTGATTTTCAAGATCCTGTAGGGGGCATCAAAATTATGCTTCCACATTTTGTGGGCACAAAACCACTGCTGTTCAGGTGGCTCTCATTGTGATCTTCTCTGGCGAAGGTTCAGGCGCCCATCTCTCCAAATCATCTCCAAGCCAGAATTTCAATCTTCCTGTACCTTTCTATTTTGGGTTCTATGTTCCAATCCAATGACAGATTTGCTGATGGCAAAAGGATCTTGATGGTCTTGTTTGCTTGGAAAAAAGTGGCGGATCCGCATGTTTTCCATGTGTTGGCAAGTGATGACACCACGTGTGCTTAATGTTTGCTGAGATTAGCGAAGTCTCTAAGATGCTCTACTGTTCTGGGCAACTCTATCTGCCCAGGAAAGGGGAAGCAAGCAACAAGATTCAGCAAACCTTGTTGTGCCTACGTGCATGTAGCAACATGTTATCATCATTTATATCCATTTATCTTTATGTATCATAATATATATTCATTGTATTTATTTATCATAATTTATGTTCATTTCTTTGCATTTATCATTGTTCATGTTCATTTATTTGCATTTTTCATAATTTATGTTCGTGATATCCACTTAGCATGACTTATATTCATTACATTAGTTTATCATACGTTATGTTCATGTATCTTCAGTTGCCATAATTTATGTTCATTATATCATAATTTTATGTTCATCTATCTTGATTTATCATCGTCATGTATCATCATTTATCTAGTTGATTACCCAAAGCAATGTGTTTGAGGCTGCAGAATCTGTGAAGCAGAGATTCAACTAGTGATCTTGAGGCGAGGAGACACATCACTCCGGCAAGGCACTGGTCTGGTCGTGCGTTTGTGTGTGCCATGATGGACCAAGCCCTGGAGGATCATCCTACACAGTAGGGGTGGGGTGATACCCGTCGAACTTCGCAACATTCGCTGATTTTTTTTATCCTTTTGGGAGCGAAAATCATTCCAAAGTTGCGTAACATGTCCGATCATGCTATGGCCTTCATGGACCTTCATGGATCTTCCTTGTTGTACATGTGACACCACCTCAGACTCTTCAGACACTGAATCTCCACAGTCAAAACCTCAAGAGGAGGGACCTGACTACGTCACACCCATTATCCTCTCGTGATTTGGCTGACTGAACCAGTGAAACCTTCTCGTGCCATAGTGAATGAGTGGTTACTGTTGGATGATGGGCGAGTACCATGATGGCATTGCTACGTTGAAGCATTACAAATCAATCTTCTTTGAACAGTGATGAGAACAAGTTCCAAAGAGGTTTGAAGCGCAGCTTGCATTCAGAGATACTGATAGCCAAAAGCACTTTGCCACTGGTTACCGAAATTGACCTCACCATCAAAGTGGAAACATCAGTTGCTGAATACAATTTAGTGTTTGGACTCAAATAGACTTCATTGCATCATTGCAAATACTCAGTAACCAAGACTGATAGTGTTTAAATGTGCTAATCTCATTGTGACTTCGTGCGAGTTGTCCAAAGAGTCGAGCGCAAGCACTACCTTCCTGGAGTCTTTCAGATATACCTTCGGCAAAACTCATTGCCATTCTATGAATTCTATCTCATGATTGTTAGATATTCTTAGATATTGTTAGATCTTGTTTGATATTGTTATATATTGTTAGTCACTGAGTCCATGGGAAAATGTTTGCTCCGTAGCAACGAAACCTGGCTGTGCTGTGCTCCACGTGCTGAGGGCTGTAATTGTAATGGCGGCACTCTTGCAGTGGTACTCGGAGCTAAAGGTGCGCCTCAGATTCTGGGACTTGAATGATCTTGGATGATCTGATGGGTTATGATGTACAGTAACTTTGGTAGCCTGCACCACATGCGCGTTCCAAGCACTTCGTGCAGCATCAGGAAGGGTGAAACAGGATTCTGATGGATCTTGGATGGATTCTTTACTGTTTTGTTATATGTGTTCTTTACTGCATCGCCAAAAATATGTGGTGGCTCTATTCTGTGAAACGAAAAAAGAGTTCTGTGGAACTTATGAACATTTCATAAAATTTTTCCATTCTCATCCTAAGCAGTGAAGCAATGTGAAGCATATCCATTCCATTTGCAGGATGCGCATATTTTATGATTGACTCGTCGCAGGCAGAGGTCCAGATGGAGGCCATGCAAAAATTGCAGGTGCGCCACGTGGTAGAAATGACGGGAAATGTCAGCCTGTCAGCTGTGAGTTTCCAGCTCCAAAGGAGGTCACTACCTTCGCCCCAATGGCTTGCCTGGCTCAAGAGCCAGAGCCACCAGTGACGTCCAGGACCCAAGATGCGGCCTCACAGCGTCATGCTCGAGGTGAAACCTTTCGATCATTGCCGTGGCAGCACATCCCAACGTTGTTAACGTTGGACTCGATGTGTCTCTACGAGAGTTGGTCAGGTGCTTCAAGTGACCGGCACGTCTCGTAGCACTCTCCATAGGCGAAGAAATGGCATCGCAGACGACCTCCTGGAGACATGTTCTGTGAGGACGAAGAGCAAACCAAACTACATCAAACTACCTTGTGGACATCAATGGACATCAATTCCACATATTTCATCATATTTCCACATCATTTCACGAAGAATTCCGCCTTATGGATGCGTGAAGAGGTTGCTTACATCACCCCGGTGTTTTTTGTGAGGTCAACCTCCCAATCTCCCATGCTGATAGAATGAGGATTTGTGAGGTAGACATAGGTAGACCAAAATGTCAATGGGCCTTCCCTAATGCGGAAGATTTATCAATTTAAGCAATTTGAAGCATGAGGGCTTTGCAGCTTTGCATTCCAAATAAAGTTGAAATATGTTGAAATGCAGTCAGTTTTGGGCAAGAATGCAACCTATTCAACTTTGAATAGCCAAGGACAGAGCGTATGCTTAATTTGATACCGGCATGCATATGGTGATATATGAATATGATATATGATATGTGCCATATTTCATGACTTGAGATTGATTGTATGTCAGGGAAAGCCGTCCACCGCTTGGTAAAATATTCCCCCGGGCGATTCATGACGGCACTGTCAAGATATTGAGGGCGCTCACACAACAGACCCTGGGAATATGATGGAATATCACTTGTAGAGATGCAATGTGTTGAAATAGTTGGATTTTGCTTTTGTCATCCTTTGTCGACACTTGGACACAGCCCCCATGATGCGAAGCAACTGAAATCAGTGACGGGTTACACAGCCATCAATCTGGTACCAGGTCAGGCACCCCCAGTTTGAAGTCGCGTTGGTTTTGATCCAAATGATCCAACCAGAAATAGCCATGGTGGGTTAAGGGAAACAACGTGACACAACTATTTGTTAGGGATTCTGAGCCCTATAGGCTCACAATCCAAGCGCCAGGCTGCTTCCAAAGTGCCTACAGTGCCCTACCAAGCCACAGCACACACCTCGGATCATCGAAAGAATGGAATTTTGTGTGGATTTCTCCGCAAAAGAATACCAAAAAAAGATCTGATAGTGAAATTCCAGGCATTTACATGTTTAATCATGTTTTAATCATGTTTATCCTTGCATTTCTTTTAATCGTTTCAATCATTTCGATCATTTCGATCGCCAGCGCAGGTACGAATGGATCATGGACGTCGTGTGGATCTGGAACTGGATCCTCTGAATTTGGTTCCAGGTGACATCATCTTTGTGCAGGCGGGATCCCGCAGGATCCCGCAGGATCCCGGGATCCCTGATTTTTGAGCTGGAACTGATGATGCATGGATATGTTAAATGATGTTAAATATGATTAAGATAATGGATATGAATAGATATGAATGGATATGAATGGATATGAATGGTCAGTTGTACTTGATACATTGATACCAGTCATCTATAGTAATCTTGCAATGTGGGGCCGAATGTACTCGGTATAGTATGGCTTCAGGGGTCGACATCAGAAATCATCAGAGCTGCTGCGGACAGATCTTGAGGGTTCGCGAGCAGAAAGTCAGGACTTCTGAGCCAATGCTCCAAATCAAACATGCAAATCGACAAAACAGAATAAGGCCGTTACTCTATAGTATGGTCAGGTGGTCAGGTAAGCTTCAAAAAGCTGCTCTATGCTCCCGCTGTGGTTCTGCGGGGTCGGTCATCATATGGAAGAACCACCCTAACAAAACAGCCGTCCCGCCACTCTGGGCGGAATAAGACACGCACGACATGGCGGAACTCATCACTCCATGATTGCAATGATTGCAAAACCAGTCAAAGCTCTCATTGATACCATTGATATTCCATATCACGATGATATACCACTAATTATTTATTAATTATTAACTCATCATTGATATATCATTTATATATATATATTTATATACTGTAATGATATACAGTATATATATATAACACATATAGATAGCTCCTTTCAGATCCTGACAGCACAGAATTCATCAAGGCCGGCGATCGAATCCCTGCGGATGTGCGGATCCTGCACTGCACCGATGGCACTGAGGCGAGTCGAGCGGAGTCGGAGTATCCCATGAAATGATATGAATATGTACTGTATATAGATATGTATATGTATACATACATGATGTACATATGTCATATGTGTATCTATGTACATAGATATATATATATATATATACACACATATATATACATGTATATTATATACACATATATATACATGTATATTATATATACATATAATATACATATAATTATATGGTATATTCTTTTTCATTGTTTTTTGACTCCAGGATTCTACACCTTTTTATGGGGTCTTTTGATCATGGCCTTCAGGTGGACAACAGCGCATTGACGGGGGAGTCTATGCCCGAGCCGCGTCACAACAAGACGGAGCCGGTGGGAAAACCAGGAAAGACGGGAAAGGGTTGATTCATAAGACCCGATGCACAAAGACCCGACAAGAAAAAAAATGGGATGAGTTCGGCAAGTCGTGCCTCTTCAAGACATAGCACAGGTCATCCTATGTAGAGATAGAAAATGAGATAGCGGATGGATAAGAAATGAGAAGAGATTACACTGAGATTATAGGAGTCATTTTAAGATCTGTTCAAAGATACAGCAACCAAACTCCAAGCGACAGCAACTGACCAGGCCATCAAGCATTAAGATCTCAATCCGCTCCAATGAGATTATCACAGCCAAAACGGAAGAGAAATGTTGATCTTGAACAACCCCCATTCCAGGCCACGGTGGGGTAGACCTGTTCCATTTTGGAATTCTTCATTCACAGCTCCATTTGGGCAAAACACTGAGGTCACTTGCCCGCCGCCGGAAGCCCGGAATTTGGCCTTCTTCGGAACCACCGTTCTCAAGGCGGCCGATCGAATCCCAGCAATCCGCAACCACCAATTCTTGGCCGATCGGCATGAAACCCTCATGAAATCCCACTAGTCTGTGTCTGTCCCATGAAAATTCATGGGTTAATGATCCAATTAAAGTCAATGATTACAGTAATTGGTCAATGAAATCCCATTAAAAATCCCATTAAAAATCCCATGACAGTAATTGGTTAATGAACTCCCATTAAACATCCCATTAAAAATCCCATGACAGTAATTGGTTAATGATGTTAAAACCCATTGAAATCCCATGCTGAAAAATCTCACATTGAAATCCTGCAACGATCCAGGGGAATGCCACCTGCGTCGTGCATGCAACCGGCGACGCAACCTTCTTGGGAAAGATTGCTCAAGGCATAGCCCGTTCCAGCTGCATGGGCTTTCATGTTGATGTCAAGTTTACAAGGTGAGTTTATTCAGTTTATTCCTATAGTTAACTTATGATAACATATAATAACTATACGATTTATGAGGGATACAACATGATAGAACTATTAAATTGTTAATGAGGTTTATAAGTTATTTATGATAGCAACTTATGACTGTGGGGCCTCATCTTGTATGGTACCATTCTATTTTTCTTTCCGGACCACACACAAGTGAAAGAGTCTTTGCGTGAATATACCCTCACCTACCAGTATATACCAGCATCCAGCATTCCTAAAGTGTGGGCCATGGGACTGTTCAGTCCCATTGTGACTATGACTGCAGTGACTGCAGTGACTGCAGTGACTGCAGGTATCAAGTCATCTCGTGTCAAGTCCACTCTGGAGATCCAGATTGAACATTTTGTCGCTTTGCCCAGCGTGGGAGAAGGGTCAGATCCAACATGCTTCGGGGTCCGGGCAACAGTACAGCGCGGCTTTCCCACTCTTTCCCATACATCCAAGTTGACCAAGACAGCGATCCCAGGTCGAAGAAGGTGAACAGCGGCTAAAATGGTCTCAACAGGAAACATGCTAAGAGGAAATGTATAGGAAATGTATGGGAAATGTATGGGAAATGCTGATTATATCCAATGGTCTTTTGTAAGTGATCGTTCAACTAACTAATTACCTCAACACAGGTTTTCCAGGTGCTGATCTTCCGGTATTTCATGACCCTTGGGTAGGAAGTGCACCAGTTGGAACCCACTGTGACCAACCATTACCATTGGCGATTTGAAAAGAAATGATGGTAACCAGCCAGTAATGGTGATTTGGTAATGGTAATGGCGATTTACCAACTTTTTTTACTGAATCACTGAATCTATGCTGGTGATTTTCAGCACCAAAAAGATAGTGCCTCAGAGACATTCCACATTCCCAGGTGCATATCATCGCAGTGGTGGCCATTTGTGTGGGTGGGGACTCCAGTCACGAACGGATGACCAGATGACTTTACAGCTTTGACATTAGAAAGCGATTTCAGCTTGATTTCAGCTTGATTTCAGTTACCTCAAAAAAAAAACGGCCGGTGGTGTAGACACCCATGGTGTTAAAATGTGTTGAACTGGATCGGGATCCTTATCCGATGGTTCCTTTGTTGGAACATATGGAACATTCTGGTAGCATGTCAGGCAGATCAAACCGAATCGAATTCTTTCAATTTCTGTAATTGACTCCAGATTAAGATCTGCAAATAAGTTATAAGAAGATTATATAATCAGATGTTAATGATGTTATTTACCAAAGACCTGCAAATCCTGGGGTCATCTCCCCTATTTCTTCCCCTCGGCAGATCCTTGGAGGATGCTTGAATCCCAAGTTCGCATGTCCATCCGATCAACCAGAATGGAATTCATGGAATAGCCGGAATAGCTCAAGTGTATTCAAGGAATAGCCGAATAGCTCAACTCAACTGCATGTCAAGATATCAATGATATCCCATGACATCATTCCTCACACATCACACATCCTCCCCGATGCCGAATCTTCCAGGTCTTTTGAGTCTCCTGGCCAATTTGTTGAGCCCTGTGAAGCGCGGCCCAGCAGAGATTCTGCAGAACAGCGCTGCAGCCCTCTTTGCTAAGGTGGGACATAGCCATCCAGGGAATGATGCATAGAATTTCGAGGACTTTGTAGATTGCCTGTGAAATTTCAATCACCAATATTTTTTTAATACAGTATGTGATAATATGTGATAATATGTTATAATATGTTATAATATGTTATATAGTCTGGTTATGTCCGGTTTATAGCTTGTAGCAAAACAGATGCTATCATATGCTATCTGTTGATGCAAATCTCTGGTTAGACTGGCCATGCAACAGGTTGGAGAGATGCCTGCGTCATGGTTTTGGCATGCTCCACAACCCCCACATCGATCCACATCGCCTGTTCGGACATTCCCGCACGACAGTATTTTGATCATTTTTGATCCCTATGGAGAAAGCTTTGTCAGTCAGTCATGAGAGGTGTGATTTTGTTCAGACATATCTCACAAACATCTGTGTGATAACATGTGATAACATGTGATAACCATATTGTGTCATCAATAGTTGGATCTTATTCTGATCCAGTCAGACAACTCGCAGTTTTTTTCAGCCTTCAGCGGAGGTGCCAGAGGGACTTCTGCCAACCGTGACGATTTCATTGATGATCGCTTCTGACCAGATGGCCAGCCGCAATGTTCCTTGCAAAAGCGTCAGAGGTAAAGCAGTTTGCAAATCGTAGATTCTGACCATCCACATTATATGTATGTAATTGTATGGTATATTATATATATATACATATCATATATTCATCCGGTGATCGTTGAACTCCGGCTAGAGAGCTTCTTTAATTATCTCGTTATATATATATATATCAAAATTACATCATTCATGGCTTGTAAAATGTCACTGTGGGCTCTATACAGCAGACACTGGTGACCCTCATGGGAGCTGGAAAGACAGGTTTCAGTGGCACTTGAAATCCAGGGTTAAATTGTATGGTCTAATGGATTCTAATGGTACAGTACCAAGATATCCAAGATATCCAAGATATTCCAAGTTCATACTGACTCTTGGAGTTGTTTCGTTTTTTTTTCTGCAGGAGCTTCACTGAAATTCCTCGAAAAAAAGACCTGACGCTCCCGAATTTTTGATCCCACAGGTCATCGTCCGGAAGATCGACGCGGTGGAAACACTGGGCTGTGTGTCGGTGTTTTGCTCGGACAAGACAGGCGCAGCATGGCGCAGCATGGCGGCAGCCACCAGGGGTCACCAGTTGGTCACCAGTTGGTCACCAGTTGGTCACCGAAATTTGGCTCGTTGCAGGTACGCTGACTACTGGGGAGATGGCAACCCAGGATTTGGTGGTTCCGAGCAGCGCCTCATTCTCATTGGAGGCAAGTTGGTTGCCGTGGTTTCCCACTCGGGTCACTCGGACGTATATATGTATGTCACATGTATGTGATGTTATGTAGTGTTGTGTTATGGAATGTTATGTAATGCAATGCAATGTTATGTTATGATCTGTAATGTCATGTAATGTTATAATATATATATATTGCTAATTAATTATTGTTATGTAATGTAATTTAAAATTCTCTGACATGGCAATGTACGATTGGATTTCAATTCGACCTATTAACTTTTCTTTTTTGCCAACTAGGATGTGTGGAAAGGGCTGTGATGAGGTATGATTTCAAGACCGCAGCATTGCACACCATTTGCCATTGCAAAAAATTCTCTCCCAGGTACCCTCTGGTAATTTAACATAACTATTGAAAATGGCTATTTATAGTGGATTTTCCCATTAAAAATGGTGATTTTCCATAGCTATGTTAGTTTACCAGAGGGTATGCACAAAGAAAAACCTTATGACTTTACAGATCGCATCAATTGGAAGTAACAAAGTGGCCAAAGTCGGGAAAGCCATGTGTAGTTCTTTGAGTTCAGCGATCGCTGTCCAGTCAGGTGAGCCAACCCAACACCAAAGTATACAAAGTGGCCCTTAGAAGTTGGTGATTCCAGAGATTCTTGCCATTCAGATTGTAAACTTGCCAGGATTTTGAGTTTGAAAGTGCTAAGGATCCACCAATTCCATCCAATTCGGAGCAAGGATTCGAGGAATGGATAGCAAGTTGCTTGAGAAATGATGCAATGATTTGCACATTGCAAACAAGATAAACAAGGACCAAATTGAAGGTCCAATGACAAATGTGTTTAGCTTCTGCCCTGACCCTGCTCAGCAGATTGGAGACCCTTCCTGCGACTACCATCTACGAAGCATGACCTGAGTCAACAGGGTCGGTGATCAAATGTAATTTGGCAGTGTGTCAAAACCTTGTACCCCTGGTGAACATCAAAATAGCTGGTAAATGGATGTTCATCCCCGTAAAAATGGTATTAATAGGTATTGATCCATAGCCATTTGAGAACATTTGGTGACAGCCTGGTGACAGGGTGAATCTACGGCCAGGTTCACAGACGTGACCGCGACTCGGGGCTTTTCAAAAGCCAGAAGCTGCTGGAAGACATTGCGGTCAGCCCACGGGGCCAAAAAACGGGCGGTGTTTTTATGGCGAATGGCCCGTTGGAAAATACTTTCAGATACACGTATGGAAATGGCCAGCTGCAGCATGTTGTATTATATATATATATACAATGTGTATTTATGTATATATGTATATATAGGTATACACAAGTGCAGGAATCTTTGGCAGCATTGATTTCAGACATGACGGCCACTTCGGAATGAATGAATAGCTTCACACAACATCACAGTTACCTCGCCATACATAGTGCTCAATGGGGCAAGCCACCCCGAGACGGGCTTCTTTTGGGTTTATGATTGGTTGCACTTCAGCCAGTTTGGAATTTCGAAGAGGTGATTCCTTCAATACCTCAGTGAACCCACGAATTGGTCTTGTTGTGGTATGTTCTGGACTCACACTATCGTGCTTCCGAGTCAGCAATAAGTTGTCGCTAAGGCAAAAAGCAACTATGAAGCATCATAGCATGTCATACCAGCGCAGACATATCACATTTTAATAGATTTTATATCATCATAATCATCATATCACCCTGTCAGACTCCAATGCAGGCAATGGCAAAAAAACACACCTCCCAATCGTCCAACATCCCGCCTCGCTGCCAGACCTGCGGTGTCCTGAACAACGGAGCAGAGATTTTTCAGGTTCGCTCGCTTCGCTCGCTTCACTCTCCCGCAGCAATCTGTTCGGGTTGGTTCGGGTTGTGACGGTTTCAATGTGAGACTCGCCATGTTCTGGTGGCGCTTCGAATTCTCCTTGGAATTTGAAAGAAGCTCATAGAGCTTCTTGTGCTCATCTTAATATTGGATAATATTGATGCCAGTTTTTTGTTGGAGCTATAAAAAACCCTGTGGCAATGTGGGTTTCTCTGAAGGCTACCCCTCAATGGACCATTAATGGATCATCGGTGATGTTTCAGGTGGATGGAGGAGAGGAACGCTGGCCCAAAACTTAGACTTGGAGAGGACTTAGAACCCATTGATGCGCCCGAAAAATTGTAGGAACTTGCACATATTTAAGGTGAATTGTAGGAACTATACCGTGATTTATTCGTGTTATACTAGTTATATTCAACATCTTCGCGAAAGGAAAAAGCAGGCATGAAAGCTCGCGAGAGTTCGCAGAAGGCGGTGCGCAACCCTAAAGTTGATGAGCTTCAGCTCATTTCCAAATAGAAGGCTTCCTGATAGCATAATGCTTCGGAAAAGCTAAACAAGTGGTCCTGTAAGGACTGCGAAAGCACTCACCGGTCTCGAAAGATTCGCAACAGGGTCTACACCACCGCTCAAGTTCTATGATTTATCGCAAGTGAGCAAAGTGAGCCTCGCAGTACGGGGTGCATCGCACTTTCAGGCAACACTTCTCATGAAACAACTCAATAGATGTTGATCAGGGGATATCAGGGGTTTGCTTACAAGCTAGTGATGCTAAAGATAGGCTAAAGACGGCTAAAGAAAGTTTGGATCCAAAAGTCTAACGAAGGCCCCCTGCAGAAATCGTAGCTGGCAGAGTGCAGCCAGAGATCTGTGACACCGCTGCCGGGAGGAAATTTCGTGTAGACCTACATTTATGTCCAAACATCCGCATCCGTATATATATTATATTATATATTATATATTATATATTATATATTATATATTATATATTATATATTATATATTATATATTATATATTATATATTATATATATTATATATTATATATTATATATTATATATATTATATATTATATATTATATATTATATATTATATATTAGATATTATATATTATATATGCATGTATATAGATAATTACGTTTGTATGTCGTATGTCGTGGATTATTCCATTGCATCAGACTAGAAGGACAGATATAGACAAACGGATAAGGTAGATGGGTAGATATGCTGGACGGTTGGTGGATATCATAGATTGTGACAGGGATATGATACATATATATATGTATGCAATGTAATGTAATGTAATGGAATTGAATGGAATGATATTGTATGTACTGTATGTATTGTGTACTGTATGTACTTTATGTATACATACTACACACGCTTGTATGTAGTGTACAGAGTATTAGACAAGAAACCTATACTATACATATACATAGACATATACACAGGTATATACATCGATCTTTATATATACAATCCTGGAGAAGATAACATATATGCGATTGTGATTTTCCCATTAAAATCCTGAGGATTTTCTGACCAAGGACCGGCAGTCCGACAGAGGTAGCGATTCTGCGTGCCTGTGCAGAGGCGGAACTGGTGAACTACTTGAGATGATAAACCAATGGATAAGATGGGGTAGCCTATGACGAAACTTACAAATCTATTTCTGTGTATCTCAAGCCGTATTTGTTGAAGCAAGTTTCAACCTTTGGTTTGAGAGGGGTATGGGCTCTTCAAACTCTTTGCTGCCAGATCTGCAAGGTGGTCTTGGCAGACTTAAATTGAAACCTGCAAGCTTGCAAGGACAACAAGCAATGTGCATCCTGCCGCAAACAAGCAATGTACATCCAAATGAAAGTCAAAAACAGTGATACTAGTTTTAGTCTGAAACATGTAGGGATTAATTGTTCTATGGACTCTGTAGACCGCTAGCAAGTAGCACCAAACGGATAAATCGAAGCCCAACAGAATCTGCAGGTCGTATCCGCCCGGCACCGGCACCCGCATGGCCGGCAGGTGAACGGTGGTTCTGCTGCAACGGCAACTTTGAAACAGAGGCAAAGGGCCACTATGGGACACCGTGGGGCACCATGCGGCACCATGGGGCACTTGACCCTATTTGACCTTATCCAGTTCTTACAGTTGGGTGATACTGTAGTTGGGTTATAGTTGGTGGCTACCGTTCACTTGCCCTGTTCATTGGGGTTGTAGAATCCCGTTCTATTGAGACCCCCTGCTAAAGACGATGCAGTGCACGCCTTGGTGAAGATGTGACACGATATCAAGCCGTTTGCGAAATTTGGGGTCTATCGGTCTATGTCCTCCGTTTGTACTGAGCCACCACCAGAATGTGTTTCTGAGATCAGTCACTGAAGTCCTGAACCCGCCTGAACCGATGCTTGTACTTCTTAGATTCTTAGATCTCTTCTTTAAGCTAATGGTGGACATTGGTGGACTGTTCAAGCACAACCGTGCACAGCCCCAAAGATCAGTGAAGGTGTCCATTCCATGACAAGTTATAACATGACTGTTCCGGTGTCCCCTGATGTCCCTTGGAATTCGAAGTTGAGATTCCGCAAGGCCAAACGATCTGAGCCCCTTTGGACAGGCCAGAGAACTTTAAGACTTTCGAGATCCCATTCAATTCAGAGAACAAGTGGGGCACTCAGGGCACTCAGCTGGAATTTCGCAGAAGTTCTGCTGAATTTTAACCTGGGCATTTTTTTTTTGTTAGCATTATATATATATACACCTGCGAAACCCGAGTGCAGGAAAAAAACGCGATGGACCATCTTGGTTTGAAAAAACGCGATGGAAAACAAAAATTGCGATAAAACCAAAAAAATGCGATAAATGATTTTGCCAAATTGCGGCACCCACAGCCTCGTTCTCTTTTAAGTCTGGGCACCATGGATTCGGAGAATTGGTTCTGTGGAAATAAAAGATAGAGAGGCGGGATCTTGAAATTTTTGGGCCATGGCCACACATGCCGGAAATGTTGGTTTTAAAATGGTTGAAACATATGTCCGCAAATTTCCGCGATATTCCCGCAAATTTCCGCGATATTCCCGCAAATTTCCGCGATATTTGTGTTTTGTTTTTTTGTTCTACAAGAAATATGTTGCAAACCTGTTTTCAACTGTTGTGAGAGTTTAGCTCAGGCATATCACCCAATTTTTTGGGATTGCCTTTTTCATATCTTCAGCCAAGATTGCCTTTTTCATATTATGTAATGGAAAGGGCGGCCAAAGCGTGTGAAGAACCTGAGAACACCTGAAATGACCAAAAATTGCGATATTTCAAATTTTCAAGCCTTTCCCATCCCGGATCTTCAAAAAGTAGGTTTTGTTGAATATCACTTTTTTTTCTGGCACTTAGGGCGCCCCAGGTATGGGATCATATAATATCATATATGTATCAAGCCATTGCGGTTGGGCCCAGCAATTTGGAAGTCATCCACTTCCCCAGGCCCATGCCCAGTCAGTGGCCAAAGTTGATGTTGCATGTTGATTTCCATGTGAGGATGTCCTCCTAAAAAAATAACACTTTGCTGTGACAACTGTTGAAGCAAAAGCTTCAAGAGGACTCAAACTGATTTGTTCATGCTATGAAATCAGGTGGATGCTCACCATTCACGGTGATCAGAACGTTGGCTACTTTGCGGTGTGGCTGGCATGGACGCAAAGTTTTTCGGAGCCAAGACTTCAACGACCAAGTAGATGGCAAGTGTTTCCGTGAAACTTGAATATCCTTGAATCCTTGCACAAAAAATCGCAGAATCCGGACACATCACACTTCGGAAGCGACGAGCGTCATTTTTTTGATGTCGTATCAGGTGTATCATTGCACGAAGACTGGAAACCTTCACCGCACAAAGAAGCCATACACAGTGTAGCCATTTTCCATCCCCAAAGCATAACCTCCCTGTGGTGCCAGATCCTTAAGGGAGCTCCAGAGCGTGTCATGAAGTGCCCCAGAAATTGCAAGTGGATGCCCATGGATACCCAAGGATGCCTGCAAGCAGTTGCCTTTCATGACCTTTCAGAGATTGACTCCACGACATTCTGATTCTCTCAGGATAGAGGTAAGATGAGGTTTTTGGATATTTGTAGGATGGCATTTGTAAGACGTATTGAGAGATCCCTTTCGTAGACACCTGGATCCCAGGGTTCCTGTCGCCAACAGCATGGCATAGCATGGCTATGTCTGAGGTATACTACCTTGCAAAGTGATCCTAGCATCGTTGGCAAGGCTTGACTCTGAGGGATTGATCACATCCAGGTCTCGCTTGTTTGTTCTCCGGCTGTAAACCCCCGGCAGCCAACTGCTGGTCCCATTCACCGATCGCCATTTGTGGTGCTTGGCCATTGTGGTGCGGCCAGACGATTGATCCCAAATGGCTACTTGTCGCTTAGGTTGAACAGCAACTTCAAGATTTGATGGGGCAGGTGTGGTTGACAGTGCTGATGATTGTGTAGCAATGGACCTGGAGAACGGAATTCCGGCACAGTGTGGCAAAGTTCCCCAGTGAGAAGCAGTTTAGTATTGGGCATGCCACAGTTGAAGAGCCTGAAATCGGTTGTGCTCAGATGGTTTGTCACAGTCATGTCACTTATTTATGATATTTTATGATATCATAACATATCAAGGAAAGCCAGACCCTATCCATCCTAGATATTTTCTACGTGTGGGAAGTCGATGGAAGTCATTGCATCAGCTACTTCGATGTGACCATCCAAGCATCCAAGCGCAGCAGAAGCATGGGTGCCAAGCACAAGAATGATTGGAACATGTCGGAATACATTTTGTTTTTTTTCCACTTCTGAAAAAGAATGAATGATCAAACTCATCAAACTGCTCAAACATTCATCATCATTCATCCATATTCATCCGATTCATCCCAAACAATGTCTGACTACGGCGGACGGCCCGAAAAACCACCAGGGACGGCGCGTTCTATGCATCGCCAAGAAGGATCTGGACGCCAATGACGTACCGAAGGCCGAAGCATTCTTAGCTTCGATTGAATCATATTGAATCTATTAGGAAATTTGAAAAAAAACTACGAACCAAATAATTCGTGAAGTGGATGGTAAGAGTCTTTTGATCAAGTGTTCATGACAGTAAAGATATGAAGTGAGAGACTGAGGATTGCACATTTTTCAGCCGAATCTCAACCACCAATCAGTTGCTGGTTGTCATGGCAGGGCGGAAAGTTTGAAGGAACCAACGCAACAGACTGCAACTTGGAGCAATCAGGCTGGCACGTTTCTAGTGGATTCCGATTCCGATGGATTCCGGATGTCCGCCGGTGCTGGCTCAGTCGGCCAATAAGTGAAACTGTGCAGATCACAGATCACAGATCGGCCTTTTTCGTTCGGCTCGCGTTGAGGCGTTTTGAATCTTGGACACCTCTTAAATCACTCGATTCTTAGGTGCCGGGTACGCTTGGTTTCGAATGTTTTGATAGACGGATTTGGGAGATCTGGAATCTGGACATTTGAGTTGGTTCTCTCAATTGAATGAGCAGATTTAGAATCTATTCCAGCATGTTTTTCTGACATCAATGTGGGCACTCCTTCGTATCAATGAAGCACCCAGTATAGCTGTATTTTTTTCTCTGGGAGCCATTGGTTTGGTGGATGATTCATAGCCACAAAGGCTTGCAAACCTTTAAACAACCAGCTATGATTTGCGCCCACTGCTGCAGCGGCACCGAGGTAATTTCCCAATGAAAGACTTCAAATTTGTCGGTCTTTATGGCATTGAGGTGTGAGTTTTTATGGCGCGGAGCAGATTTCTTGTGGATGTGCTGCATGCTGGGAGAATATCAACCTTCGACTAGGCATAATCCATTCATTATCCATTCAGTTAGTGCAATCATAATTCTGTAGATCAGGACGATGACTATAACATACTATAACTAGCATCATGAGCATCTTGACCAATCATCACCATAGCGTCAACAGGAGCATCTCCATATCCATCGCTGGTTCACTTGGAGAATGTGTTGGTTTTCACGTGCGTTGTGAATTTCTATGAATTTCTCAGGAGTTTCGCTGAAGTTTCCTTAACCATCTTAACCGGACAGTGGAAGATTCGCATCCATTCTCGCAAGCATTTCTTAGTGAGAATGGGGAGTCGTCGCGGTGATATTGGTATTGGATCCCCTGATTTTGCCCATACACCCTGGCCGGCCCTAGACACTGTCTCCTGGAAGCTAGCGCCAGGTGATGAGCTGATATGATCTGATGTTTTTTAATATAGTTCTAAGTTCTATACATTTCTGCCGTCAAAAGCAGTCAAAACCACTATATTGTGGGAAAAACCAACAATAAACCAGCCATTTGGGAATTGTTTATACAACCTATAAAAATGGTGAAATTGGGGATGGTTAGTTTTTTCTTTTACCAAAATTACATCCATGGTGGATCAGTCCACGGATCAGCTCACTTCAGGACCCTCCAAAAAAAGGCGTTGCAGAGGCAGTCCTGGATGCCCAGAAGGCTGGAGTCAAGGCGCAACGTCGTTGATCAAGGCTGTGGAACTACGACTCCGATGACTCCACAAATTTCGTTTTTTTTTTCTTTGGTTTGAAGAGGATGAACCAATCTGTATCCAAATTGGCATACATCCTTTTCGTCGGGTACCAAAACTATGGAGTCATGGAGGGGGTATGCTTTGCACGATTTCATCAGCGCGGTTTCTTCGCTACACTGCGTGCTCGTTGCAAAACCTCCCATGTGGTCGGAAAGCCTTGTGTCGTATGGGTGACTCAGGATCAAAATAATACTGAGCTTCACATGTGGCTATGGATATCTATGAATCTATGGATCAATAAATCCATAATTTCATTATAAATTCCAGTTATTTAGGGGGATGAACATCCATAAATCCCAGCTGTTTTGATGTTTAGAAGGGTAGGTTTTGATCCATCCCCATCAGGTGGTGATGGTGACCGGAGACCACCCCGACACCGCCAGAGCCATTGCAGGCCGGGCATCTTGCGATTGGGGAAAGTGCAGTTAACTGTTAACTAATGTAATTTCTATGTTTCTCCAAGTGTTTGATCTATCTATCTGAATCTATCTGAATCTATCTGAATCTATCTGAATCTATCTGAATCTATCTGAATCTATCCATTGATCCTATCGATCTATCTATATATTGTTTTCTTATCCTATCGATCTACCTTTCTATCTTATTTATTTTATCCTTCTCATCTAACCTATCTAATCTGTCGAATTGATCTTACCTATCTAATTAATCTATCTCATATGTCTAATCTATCTAATCTACCCAATCTATCTAATCTATTCAATCAACCTAGTCTATCCAATCTATCTCATCTCATCTGTCTAATCTATCTGTCTGTCTGTCTGTCTGTCTGTCGATCTATCTATTTATCTATCGGATCGATCTATCTAGCTCGCAAGCTAGCTACCTCTTTGATATTATACGTATATATGCATATATGTGTATGTTTTTCTTGATCTATATCTGTTTGATTGATTTTAACTTTATATCTATTTGATGTGTTCGATCTATCTATCTACTGTATTTGTTTCTTTTTAATCTATCATTTTTTGTTGTGTTTAGTGTTTTCTTTCGTTTTCCGGTTCTTTCCTTTCTTCCTTTTTTTATGCGTTCTTTCTTTTCTTTCTTTCTTTCTTTCCTTTCTTTCTTTCTTATTACTGTTTGCTTTTTAGTGTTTCCGTTTGTTCTCTCGTTCTTTCTTTCTCCCCCTTTCTTTCGTTCTTTCTTTCTTTCTGTTGTTCGGTGATTCTGTCGCTCTGTCTTTCTGTCTGTCTATGTTTCTATCTATCTATCTATCTTTTTCTTTCTTTCTTTCTGCTATTTGTATAGTTCTGGGCTTGAATTGTATGGATGCATATCATATTTTTCCATTTGCACTGGTGAGCGTCAATCCGAAAATGACTGAACCGAAAGTCATCTCCAAATTGGATTTCCCAAGCTGTAAATTTGGATGAGCCAACGCATTGAGCTACAGCTACAGATTCCAAAGAACACCAAGTGCCTGTAGACACCAACTGCACACCCACTCCAACACTCCAAAAAGGATGACAGTAAATGGGAAGTCCATCGAAATGTACTGGAGTTTGTGAGTGACCCGCTGAACTG